TAGTAATTCAATGTAAAATTGAATGTCAATTTTTTATAGTTACTATTGAACTTTGGGTTCCAGATTCAATGGGTCTAAAGTCTAAAACAATTATTTTTTGTAGCTTTAATATAATAATAAGTTATTTTGATTGAATAATTATTTTTGGTTACCACCCTGTTTAAAAAAAATAATCAAAATTCAAAGGAGAATGCCTTGCATGTAGTAATAATTTTGAATAATTTACATTAAATTAAATAGGAACATATTTTATTATACTGGTTTATAATTGAATAACAAGAAATCTGGTTCCTAAAAAAACACTTGGACTTTTCCAGAAGATTTGTTAACCCAACTTTACTGCTGAAATCTGTTGGCCCCGTGTTGCAAATGAATAATTGAGCGGACGAGAAATGCGAGCATGGCAGATATGATGGATGAAACCTCGGAGAGTCGGCCCGAGAGGTGAGGAGCAAAAGTTCCCCAACTACTTGAATAATTCACCTCGCCGGCAACTGCTACGGGTGTAATGAAATTCGCGTCCGATGCTGCGCCGCCGGACAGTGGGGAAAGGGTCATCATTACTCCCGCCGTGCGCGGCGACACTCGAGTTGCATGTTTTTAATCGTATCGATCGTTTTCATGCAAAACAACGAGAGTCGCCGTGACTCACTCAATTTGCCCACCGAGCACCGTGTGTGACTAAAAAGAGATGTATTCGTTATAGTGACAGCAAAACGCTTTTAATCAAAGTGGCGGTGAAGTGGCAAACAGGAGGATGAATTGTGGCTTTTTCCAATTAGGATTTGCCACATTATTTTGATTTATTTCACGGATGGGTTAGAATGTGGATAATCTATTATTTTACGTTTTTAAAGTGTCACTTTTATAAAATTAATATGCCAATTTTTATGTATAACTTCAAAAGTAATGACGATTTTATATTTTATCCGAAGATCTGCGGGATTCATTATCAAGAAAAAGAGAAATGAAAATTGAGTATGTTCAGCGCTCCATTATTAAATTAAACTGCAAAATTTTATAAAAGCTATAAAATAAAATAAATATTCTGTATTGATAATGCTTGTAGCGTCAAATTCAGGGGCTGATCTAATTTTTTTTTTATTCCTTATTGTATTTTTTATGTTTTATATATTATACTAACAAGTTATTAAAAATATTATTAAGAATGAAAACTTTGCTACAATTTTTAATAGCTTTCAAATTGATAGCGCAAAGGCGCGATAATGTGTCGAGTGAGCATCTCGGCAACGCAAATTCTGCACCTCGGGGAATAATTCTGATGTACATCGCAGCCGTGAAAAATAAACACGGTTTATCCTTACACGGAGGGACTCATTAGTAGGCGTGCAATCTCATTTATTTATTTTGTGAAAATTCATGCTGAATTAGTAAATTTTCAGTAATTTTCGGGTCGAGTCACAATCCTGAAAACAAATAATAGCAATTTTCTCAATTCCAAACCAACAGCTTTAATGAGATTATTGGGTAGTTTTTGAAGAAAAAAAATCGGATATAGAAACATCGTGTTTTTTTACAAATAAAATTAAAATAATTAAATAGTAAAAGGGTTTCTCTTTTATTGTGTTAAAAATTTAATCCTTTCGTCAGGCATGGGTTTTATTGGCGTCTGGAAAAATAAGGGCCGCCGTCAATAATTTATCAAAGTCACCCCGAATGACCGCAGGAGTTGGAGTGAATTTTTAAAGTTGCCCTCTCTTGCTGTAACTTAATGAAAGTTGTTGTTTGCTCTATATAAACTTTGCTATACGCCAGTGAACGGACAACACAACAAAGCTTACTCAAGTCGGGTGCTGTTCATAAAATAGCAGTTTTCAAATATTAAATTCCTGTGGATAGGAAATGGGAAAGGCTCATAATATACATTGTTAAGATAAAAATTAGACAAGTATTTGATTTTTGCCAGAATCAGTATTGAAATTTGAATGTTATTACATTGTGTTTAAAAATATAATATTATTTTCTGCGATTAAATAAAATCAATTCATTCAAAAATAAGCGATTAATTAAAAATATGTTTAACATTAATTTTTTCTTTCCCCTAAAACAATCTTATTTATGCCAGTGAAGCATAGGTTTAGTGCCAATTATTGGCCAGTGCACAATTCAAACAAACACGCGTAACTTTGAAAAGGCGAACCGTGGCATGTAGGCCGGGGGACGCAAATTGCTCTGTCAGATGGACGACGTACACACAAACTCGTGTTTGCTTTTCAATTGACTCTCGCTTCCTACGTTTTTTTCGCCCAGCCTGTGGCAACGCGAGTCGGTGTTTTCGGGACAAGTTTCGCGTGCGTCGCTTTTATGTTTACGCGCGCGAGTCAATATTTTGCCCAAGGAGAGAGAGACCGAAATAAAATAATTACGCTTGGGAAAAAGGCACGCATGAACCGTTTATTTAGACAGAGTTTGTGGTCGCAATCATAGTTAGGGTGTCTCTAATACCTTTTGTTGCATAGCAATAATAATTTTTAGTATTTGTTTGGTTTATTGCTGATTTGAGAATTTTTGTCACAAAGAAAGTGGGAAACAGCTTTTATTTCTAGCATTAATTTTTTTTATTTTTTCTCCTTTAACTGAAAATGTTATTTATTTACCACTAATTGAAAGTAAGAAATAAAATTATTTTGTATCAATTAAATATGAAAGCATTTTTCATTTCTTTCCACGTCTAATTAAAAAAAAAAACTTTTTCTTTACCAAAAAAAAGTTCTTCGATCATTTGCCTACGTTTTATGCTACAGTGTTGGTTTTAACACTCCAGTCAGACGAGATTTTTTTCCATAGTTTACTTATTAATAACAAAGTAATTATTTTGTCATAAAATGCTGTTAGCCAGTTATTTGATGTTTAGACGCATATTCCAATTTTAAACCCTCAACCCTCATTAATAAAAAAAGAAAAAGTAGGAAAAAATAAATTTGCATTTTCAGTTCAATAAATTTTACAACAGAATGCAATGTATATAAATACAAAAATAAATTATTTTAACGTATGAAGAAAAAAATTAAAAATTTATGTTTGAATATTTGTAATTTCTATCCCAAAAAAAATTGAAAAATTATATTTAATTATAAATAACAGAAATATAAAATTAAATATGTTAAATAAAACTTTGATAATTATAATATAATATCTTTAAAAATAAACATTTTACTGCTTGACTATATATTTTAGTGTAAAAAGATTACGCAGAAACAACAGAAAGTGTAATTTTCCAAAGGGTCCAGAGATTGTAAAAATGACGGTAAAATATAAATATTTCGAGAGAGGAAACTGCTTGTTATATCGAGAAATAAACCTATCATTTCTCTGGAATCTTGGCTGGGCCAGGACTTAAGGGCATTGCAACTCTGCGGCAATATTGCAGATATTTGCCCGACCGCGTTTACGAGCAATTAATTTTCCGAGCGAGAAAACACGTAATGGGTAGACCCGACCCTATAATATCAAAGAGCATTTCGTAAACGGCATTTTTGCCAACCTGTTTTCGCGACGCCGAGTTTCGCGAGCGAAAGATAAATTCGCGCAAAAGCCAGAGGGTCGCTTTGTTGAAGCAGAGGCTGCCATTATGGATGAGGGACTAGAAGAGGGCCGCGCATTGTTCTTCTATTGAGGCTGCCCGTCGCGAGCCGCCCCGCTGTCGTCGTCGCCACCGCGAATATAATGTGCAGCAGCACGCTTTTCTGCTCCACGTGTCAATTGCATGATTCAGCAACGACCGCCCACTCAAGATTATCGATCTCATTTGCGTAAATTCCCCGCGGTTTTTCTTTTATCCACTCCCTTTTGTTTTTTGTGCCAGTTCTCGCGAAATGACAAATATGGATATTATTAAGTCCCACTTTTAATGAAGTTGGACTAAAGTTTTTGCCGCAGTGTGTACAAGGAGTGCTTATTCACTCTTGACTGAACTTTTGGCAAAGTTTGTCAATCTTTTTATTCATTTGTTTTGCACGCGGGCAATCCCTCTTATTGTGAGTACACAATAAAATAATAAAGATGCTGTTTGTTAGTGCTTACCAAAATTTAAGTGCCAAAACAATTCCTTACTTTGATTCTGATATATTTCTAGGAGGATAATTCAACTTTTACTATATGATAAAGTTTCCGAAATTACTAATATCCAGAAATTATCAAGAAAAAGGATATTAAAAAATTAAGGAATTGGCTTTAAAATTTTTACTGAAAAATTAGTATTTAATACAGAAACTGAATTATGGACTTAGAAAATTAAAAATTTCTCCTTACAATTTGAAACTCGAGTATTTTCATACGATTGATAAAAAAGACTTATCTCGCTCAGTTTAAAAATCTACTTTTCATGGCAAATTTATCTAGCTGGTTTTAAGCATAAATTAAATTTTTTTTTGCAAAATTTATTTGAAAATGGATTTCACTCTGCAAAATTTTCACAAAATTAAATAAATTTATAGATGATTCAAAGGTCAACTAAAAAATTAGCTTTTCATTCATTTACAAAGTACTGATTTTAAATTTGAGGACAATCAAAATAGGACTTATATAACTATCGGCACACTGTGGCGGATAAACTCTCGAAAGATTCAGCAAAATGTTTGATAGTGATGTGAAAGTTCCTAAAAGCTTTAAATTTTGATAGTCATGTTTCTTTTTTAAATATAATCAACATTTTAGTTAATTTTATTCCTTTCAGTATGAAATGGCAATTTTTTTAGTATAATTGACTTTATTGTAATATTTTTCAGAATTTTTATCCCTTTCCAGACATCACTTTACCGAACATCTGGTCACGTGGCCCGATGAAAAGTCTCATAAAACGACCCCAAACCGCAGTTCACCCTGTTTTTTCGGCGAATTACATCCCCAGAGAAAAATCAGAGGAAGAAAGGGTTGGAAAAAAACGTGGATTTCCCGACTTGCCGGCTTGGACGGCGAAAGAATAGGGGCGCGGATGTGAGCTGTGCGGGGTGGGTGAACGGACGGACGGAGATACTCACCACGTTGGGGTGGAGATCTAGGCGGCCCCAAAGTGTTCGCAGGCGGCGTGGGGCTCGACTTGAGTTGAGGGGGCTGATGCTTCGGGAGCCTCAGGTGCGGGGCCGGGCCCAGAATGGCCGAGCTGAGGGCTCGCCTGGCGCGCTGCTGGCTGTACTGGAGGGCTGCTCTGTGTGGGGCTGTGTCCTGCGGCGCGGTCCCGAGCACACTGGCCGCCGTCCGCACGCCGTCCCACCACCCCTCGCCCTCGACCAACCCCCTGCCGCCGGTGGTGCACAGGATTGCGTCGGCGCCGCCGCACGGCAGCGCCAGAGTCGATACGATCGACATCGCCCGCCGCTCCAGAAGACTCTCAAGAGGAAAAGCAAGAACAAGTGCACCACGCACGGCACCCCGCTCAACCTCGCTGCACTCTCGCTACTGCTGCTGCAACTGCACAATCACCACCTGCAATCATTATCAATAAACTCGCCGTTAGTAATCACAATTTTATTGAAATAAATTCAAATTTAAAATGGTTTATAATTACATTTTTGCTACTTTTTCTTATCTTGCAACAGTTATGTTTAAACACAAACTGAACAAAGTACAAAATTGGGAAATTATATCATAAACATAAAAAATTACATAATATTATTCATATAACTAGAGGGAAAATTTGCTTAATATTGCAATAGAAAAAACTGATCATCTAATCAGGAAAAGAGGAAAGGATTTAAGAAAAAATTTACATAATATATTGTTTATATTATAAACAAATGAAAATCTGAACATTTTAGTCAATTTGCATAACTCTTTTATGGCTCAGAGGCCTCAGAGCGTCTTTTCAGCTAAATGAAAGATTGAAAATTTTCATTATTTATTGAATAAGATAAAGAAATAAATAGCATACAAATGTTGACCACGTAATATTAAACAGACCTGCAAATATTTAATTAATTAATTTTAGAAATAAAAGCCTAATTCTGCACTAAAGCTAAATAAAAAAATTCCTTTTCAAGATCCTCAACAAATTAATAGAGACAAATTTTTTTAATTAAACGTCCTATATGAACAAATTCTATTTTGTAAAAATTTAGACAAGTAAAATTGCATTTTAGGGCTTATATGAGAGGTACTCAAATCTGCAAACATGCCTTCTTAAAATTAAGAGAGAAATATAACGTTGTGTTGTTTGATTCGTGTCAATAACAGGATTTAATTAATCACAAGTCTAACAGCAGCTATTAATTAAAAATTATGTTGTTATTGCTGGTATTTCCAATTTCGCCGACGAGATTATTATTTACACTGACTGCTACAAAAATATATTTTTAACGAATAATGCTTCAGGGCCCCGCGCGCTCAATTATGTACCTTTAAGAAGTTATGAATGAAAGAATTTCTACGGCCGTTCAAAATAGTTTTTACGTTACAAAACAAGGTGCGGTCTGTGAAATAAGTAAAAATCTTAATATCCGGCTTCTACACTATTTTTCAGTAGCGTATTATAAATTTAACTAATTATTTCAGCATCTTTCACAAGATAAAATTTGTTACCGATATAAAAAGTGAAATCAATTCATTAGATATTTAATTCTATTTAACTTTGAATAATAATATGCTATGGGATACTTTGGAGCATTTCAAGAAGATAATAATGATTTCTGGAACTATTGATTTTATTATTACATTTATTAAAAAAAAAGAACAAAAAATGAGGGCGATCAAATAGCTCAACCTGGCTTACCTGGCCTAGGCTAAATTAACCCGCTTTCAAAATTCAAATTAAAAATTGAATCGCTCTCTTACTTTTGTATGCCTGCTTATTTAAAAAATTTAATAATTGTACATTAAAAATTCGAATTTTAACCCTTTTAACTTTAAACACACATACAGTTTTTAAGATAAAATTTAGAAAATAGGATTATTCTTCTTAGCATGTAAATATCACAAATATCATTAATTTCAACAAAGTTTTATATACAAAAAGTCCTGCACAACTAAAATTACAGGGTTATTTAATTACTCACACTTGGCAAGTTGAGGTGAATTATTTGAGTGTGTCAGTGGGTCCGGTGAAGAAGCTGCTCCCTCAGCGACGGCTGCTGCGATCTGAAGAAAGAATGCGTTCTCTCTTGCAGGAAGACGAGCACAGACTGAGTCCGCGATAATGAGCCGCGGCCGTATTTATGCTGGCGGGCCCCCCGCCCCATAACGAGGGAGTCGAGTGTAGTGTGTAGGCCTAGTGAGTGGCTATTTGAATCGCGCGTGAGTATATTTGGGCGCACACGTGCTGCCTGCCGCGGACCGACGAGTTTTCTGGACGAATCACGCCCGACCTGCATGGCCTGGAAGTTTCCTGAAATCCTGACCTGAGTCACGTCTGTCCCGACTAAAGGGATTTCCGCCTTTACTATTATACAACCGATTAAATTATCCTTTTGACCTTTTCACTCCCGTTTCGTATAAATAAAAAAATAACGTCTAATATTCCGAGCCGCGTCAAATTCGAGCCGCCGTCTCCGCTTGAAAATGAATCAGCCACTCCGTCTGGCGGCTTTGGACTTTGTGGATGGTGTAGTAAATAAGTCATGCTAAAATTATAATTCGAATAAAAATAATATTGTAACAATTGTTTAACCTGTTTTTTTTAGATGGTAATTAAAATTGGTTTCTGAGTTAATAACAAAAATTTTTTAAATAAATTAAAAACGATCATACACATTTCCTAAAAGATGTGTAAAAAAATTTGTTTTTTAATATTTAGTTTAAATAATTTACGATTGCAATTATTTTGCATAGCAAAAGAAAATTAAATTATCTTTTGTGAAATATTTTTTATTATAAAATAATTTATTAGATTTTACATAGTTATTTATGTAAAAAAATTTGATTTCACATTTAACCCATTTTTATTTTATTTTTTAATTTTATCGTCAACCCAACAAAGGCAACTAAATTTATTATATAGACAAAGCGTATGCCTGTAGCTATGAACTATTTTCAAATGAAATTTTGTGTTAGCTATTCACTACTCAAGATAATATTTCAGCTCAAACTTGCTTATAAAAATTCCTTTATTCATCATGAACATTTATTATATTATTAAATCAATTATAAATAGCTGATTTTTCTTCATAATATGCTATTTTCTCACTAAATCAGTTGTGTTGTAATTTCCATTCTTTTAAGCAAGCACTGCGACTCATCTATATCTTATTTTACAAAACTAGCAAATGATTCATTATCATATTTCTTTCCGGCTACAAAGCGCAAGAGATCAAAAGTTGTTGAGCAGACAATTTTACTCCGATTTAATGCAGATCCAACCAGATTTTATTGGACTCTGTAATTACAAGCTAAAGTAATATAATAATACAGATGATCTTTGCTTTGCATAACAAATGAAACAATTGAACATTCCCTATTATTCACTTTGAGCAACTTAAAGTAAAAATTACATCAGTTTTTTTATCTTCTTTGGAGAACAAAAATATGAAAGGAAATTTGTCACACCAATAATTAATTGATATTTCTTTGTGTGCTATAGCAAATGTCACTGTTTCATTACGAATCATAACACCTTTATTAAAAATTGTAGCTAACAAAGTTATTAATTGCAGGGATGCATAAACTAAAAAATAAAAAAATTTAAAAGATTGGATCAAATTAACTGAACTTCTATAAAATCAGAGGGAAAACATTGCAGCCAATATTTTTCTTTTCTATTTATCACCAGCAAATTTTTAGTTAAAATTTTTGCTTTTAGGGATTTGCATGATTTTACTTTTTATTTGTTTGATGTCTATACAGACGCCGGCCGGTGTATTTGTTTACATGCGAGACTTCAGGATCACGTGATTCGGAGGTGCGTGAACGCACTGTGCACGTGATAGCGCACCATGAATTATTTGGATGTCGCCCAAACCACTGTTTCGGAATGCACCTCCCTATTCTCAACTTTTTTAATCTATTGACCATCTCACCCAGGGCATTCCTGGCGCCACCGTGATGACAATAAAAAGCAATCCGCGTCTCATCTTCTCTGCCGTAGGAAATGAGTTGCTTTAGAAATAACCAGAAAAAGGCAGCCTGGCCTAGCCCTAATCGCATTCCAAAAACTGGTTCCCGTAAAAACACTCTCAGTTTTGAATGTATGTGTTGAGGTAATAAACCATGTAGATGGCCTAGAGCGGCTGACGGGGTGTTACATAAATATTAAACGACTAAAAGCATCATTTAAAATTTTTAAATCAGCAAGATTTTTGCGGTTAAGGATACCTTTGTTTTGCGACAGCAATAACAATTTTTTGATTATGCCAAAAAGACGTGTTAATAATTTGGGGAAAATATCATATTGAAACTTTAAATTATATATAAAAATTAAGAAATAATTGGAATTATTTGCAATTTCAGAATTTTCCGGATATAAAAATTAATTCTTCTAGAAGCTTCCAAAGATTTGCAAAAATAAGACTTGTTTTTTTTTTCTTCACATTTGCGGCCTTCACCAAATTTCGCGCAATATCTTTCTATTTGATCACACAGAGTGGTCCACCTTTACACTCTGTCTGGGCCGTCTGGGGACACATTAATTCATTGTGATTTTGGCAAGGCCTGCGTTGGCCGCGACTGTTAATAAAGCTGAATGGAATCCGCACGTGCAAATGTTTAATCAATGGCAATGGCGCTCAGTTTGTTGATTTCTGGCCATTAAGTTCAAGGAGGGTCACGATCTTCCATTTCTAATAATAAGCACAAAAAAGTAGCTTGTTTATGAAGGTCGACCTTCACATCCAATTTATACGTTTTATTCTTAATCAACCTTTTAAGCGTCGCTCTGATCATAAATGTGTGTCAATTGAAATTATTAACCAATTGATGAGAATTTAACAGCTACATGCCTTTTTTATTATAGAATTAAAAAATTATTAATTTTGATAAATAGACTCACCAAAAATGACTTTAATTTATTATAAAAAAAAACATCACGATTTAATTTGAAAGTTAAATTTCATCTCCAAAATAATTTAACGTTATGCTTATTTTTACTCAATTTATTAGTTTTTCATTCAAAATCCAACTGAAATTTGCATCTTCTAAAGTATCTTTGTGCTTTAAAAGCATTGAATTTAAATATCCAGAAGCCAAAAAGTGCTGAATTTTAACTTCATTTGCATTTTGCATAAAGTCCTTCTGGCAACGAAAGCGAAAAATCACTGCTTATCTCGTATCATCAGCTATAAGCTTTTGCTTTCAAGGAGTTTCACTCTCACACACAGCTAAGGATCGAGCGATAGATAAAAGAACATGCAAAATGCTAATAGCCACTGCAACGTTCTCTCTGCATCAACAGATTATCGCCCGTTTTGTTCCACTCAAGCTGAGCAGGCAAAAAAAAAAGATCGAAGGGAATATAACGTACAGGATAGAGAAAACAACACGTACGCTGCAGCAAGGTCGTTTTGTCCTCGTCGTTGCAGTGTACGTACAATGCACCATCTAAATAAAAAATTTGCAATAAATTAGATTGCTAATATTTTTATTCAAAATTTGAAGAAAGAAAATAGAAATACATAAATCTTTTACTCTCTAAAATAACATAAAATCATTTTTTTTTTCACTGGATCAACACAATAGTATAAACGTTTTAACTTGAACATTTTGTTATAATTTTAATACACAAGGTTGTTATAAAACAAAAATAATTTAAGTAATTTTTCAAACAAATCTTTATTTCAAATATATACTCATTAATAAAAAAAAAATATTAATACTAATAATTGCTGCAAAAAAATCCGTCTTTTATGAAATTTCAATACTATCTTTTTGTCTGAAAAGATTTTGCAATATTAATTTTGCGATATCTGATCATTTTGCCATGTCATAAACAATTTAATTTTCCCTTCTTACCATTACACTTGAGTCTAGGCACGAATGTAAGGACTTACGCACGAGTCTCTCTATGGGCAAATTCATGAAATGCAGTCTTTACAGCAAAAATTTTTGAAAAACAATTGGAAATTTTAGCCATCATTGTTAAAAAGACTTCATAATATGTTATTAACGAGTCCTTGAAATTATTTGCATTTTTACTTTGACCAAATATGCTGACCTAAATTAAGTAAAAACGGTAAAAACAATAATTCTCTTTTTATTAGGCACGATTATAGAAGATTTGAAATGTTTTGATATCATTTTTTTGTGCATGTTCTCCTTTAAATTAAATCTTGGTTAAAGCTAATCTAAGTTTTATTATTATTATTATTTTATTATTGATGGTGACAGACGAAACACACAAGATAACAAAATGAGGCTTCGTGTTACCTAAGGCCTTGATTTACAGCATGCATGTGTTTGTGCCGAGAGTCGCAAATTGCTGCTGGTGACGACGGGATAAAACCGCGGTCATAAAATGCGTCTGCGAGGAGAAAAAGAAGAGACACTCGTCGGAAAGCATCGGCATTGCGCCAGTGGAAATCGCTGCTGCAAAATGACGCCGTCGCTTGCCAGCAGCAAAGCGGTCTTTTGTCTTCTTTCCGTGAAAAGCAGCAAGGTGCTCACAGTGGAGTAACTAGGGTATGTGCCAAGGGTACACGCAAACGGGCGCAGGATGAGTTAGAACGATCCATAATTATATGGGTCTGCTCTACCCAGCACAGATATATACATAAATTTATCTCGCGGGTTTCTGCCATAATATATAATAATCTTGCTTGCCCCTCTCAGAGCGATTTTAATATATTCGGCTTGGCACGAATTCACTCGGAATGCTAATTTCAGGCGCGATTATACTGATTTACCGGGCACATTTCGGCTCCTGCTTTCCACAAATTGCCCCTCGGAATGTGGACACTCTTGTTTTTCAAGAGAAAATTGCTCTCTCGTCCACCTAAAGCCGATTCATCATTGAACCCTTTGGCTATGCAATAAAAATAGCAAGGAAAATTACTGTACGGAATAGGAGAGTTCTAAAATTAACTTTAATTATGGCTCATTAAATTTAATCGTAAAGAGCTCTGTAACACTAAGTTTTTTGTTAAATCAATTGTTTTAAGGACTTCATATTGTCTAGAGAAAATTGAAAAAAGCAATTCAAATAGACTGGTAAAAAGATCTATTTTTCCATGCAAAAAGGTGAATTATGAATGTCTAATTTTAGTTGGAAAAAGGTGAGGAAGTACGAGGTTAGCAAATATTCTAGTATCATAAAATTCTGTTTCAGTTAGAAAGAGCCCCTTAAAAATTTATTTAAATAAAATCATATATTAAATTTATGATGTCAATAATGGATCTACTTTAAAATGAATTCCGCAAACTTTAACTTGTCAGCATCAACTTAAAATTTAATCCCAATATCAAATTTAATAAGTGAAGAAATTATGTCATTGCAAGCTTTTAATAATATATTTCTTAACACAATGCCACTTTTTTATATTCTATATAAAAAAAAATTAGTTCGTCAAGACTATTTTGCTTGTCACAATAAAACAAAGGGAATTGATTGTTTGAGAATTTTTATTCAACAAAATTATCATATCATGGAACATTACCTTTGATGATGCGTCTCGTGTGTGTTTGGAACCAACAAATATATATTTAAAATGTTTGTGTCAGGACACAAATTGACTTAATTTAGAGTGTAAATATTTAACTCATTGTTAGTCTCTGATGCGGCAAATGTTCCTCATTTGTCAATTTATGCGTTTGTCTCAACATTTACATAACTGGTACTTTGCGCGCTTTTAAACATTTACCGGCCCGTAGCTCAGCTATAAGAGATCTTTGCATTTTCGTCATAACGCTAATTACTCTTTTAATTTTAAATCAACAACAACAATTATTATTAGATTTACAAAATCAGTTTTTGTCTTTAATCGTTTGCTTGAAATATATTATAGAAACGGAAAGTTTCGGCATCAAGCCTTTTGTCTTATTCTCAATTAGATCCGGTGCACATGTCATTTTTTTCCTATCAGCCATGGTCCCGGTATGTACAGCGATTTACTACATTTCATTTTCAAAAGTTTAAGTCCTTTATCAGAATTTTATTAAAATCTGCGTGATTTTTTTAATTTGCTTATTTTATATGTAAAAATGCAAGAGACTTCCTAAAACAACCTTAACCGATCCGCAAACAAATTAATTCATTTGTTTAGTAGAAAAACTGTTGACTGATTACTTGTTTCCTTTTGTGTATTTTTACTTTGAGCTTTTTAACTGCGGCTTCTCTTTCACAAGACTCGATCACTTTGGATTGACAGAAGGTGTCAATTCTGCAGAAAACTGGAAGAACTAAACAACTTGAAAGCATCAAAGCTTCTATAATTATATAATATTGAAGCGACCAACATAAGAATTAAATGTCGCGAAAAAAATTATTGCTAATTAGGCCTTAACTTAGAAAATGATTAGTATCTTTTATGGCTTACAATAACACTCTAGAGAAGGATATAATAGTTATAAAAATCTACCCACTAAGCAGACACAAAGCAAAAGTTTATATCTAAACTCTACCAAAAGGAATGTGTTTGAATCTTTGATGAGATGCGTCGCCAGTGAGTGTCAAACCTCAGATCAGACTTTAAAAGCCAATAAATATGTCACCAGATTTTGTTTAGCTCAATATACCTCCACAATTTGCACAATAAGAAAGTTTATTTTTAACAAATTGGTCTTATTAATTGCAATTTAATTAACTCCGACTCGCCTTTCCCTTTTTAATTGATGTAAAAATTTTCTCTCCCTTTGACGATTGAAAAACTTTTTTGGTGTCTTCATCCTTCATTGTTGGCAAAAGGTTTCCTCATAGAGTGTATGTGTGTCAAGTTACATTTGTTCACCTAAGTGTGTCTGCCAAGAATCAAATTGATCGATCTTGATTTTTAAATATACAAATTCTCGCTAAGGTCGCTGTGATATTTTATTTTTTTAAATTCTCTGCTTCTCTCACTAATGATTTTTCTACCTTTGTCATGCCAAAATCAGTTCGCTAGATGGCTTTTTAACCGTGATTTTTCGTTCAAATCGTATTTATACATATTAATTTTTAAATTACATAGTGTTTGTGTGTGTAAAATCAAGAGCTATATTATGTACACGTGGCAATTTTCTTCACTTTTTAGAGGGGAAGGGGCTCTGTTTCAGTCACTACATTGTGTATTAGGTTCCTGTGGCACTTTATCACTGCATGCACCTCACTTCTAGCGATGATATGATGGCTCGTTAACTGCATTCGGTCCATTTTTTATAAGCAAAAATGCAAAGAAAATAATATTTAAGTGTAAAATCTAACATAATATAGGAATGGAAGCTTTGTATTAAAATCAACTAACTAAAGGAAATATTTAATAATTAAAATTAGGATCTGGATTATAACAGGCAATATAATTTAAACGAACCTCTACAATTTTTAATTTTGTTAAGGTCATCCGACTTTAAAATATATTTGTGAGATCGGTTGCTTTAAAATTTACAAAAATTTATTGAAAGAAAATTACACGTTTCTCTGAAGATTGGTTGTGCAGAAAATCACTTTTACAAGTTCTTACAACTCTTAGAATTTTAATGGAGTGAGATCAAGAGACTATAAGCTTTGTTTATAATTGTCTAGATCTAAAAAAATTGGCATAAAAAAAGTGTCAAAAATCTTTAAAACAAAATTTTGCTTATAATAAATAAAATATATAAATTTGAAAATATTGATGCGTATTTTTTCTTTGTTATAATGTTATAAACTTTATAATTCACCAAAAACTTAATGAACAGACGGACTATTTTAATTTTGGCCATTACATCATTATTAAGGTTCAGATTAAATTCTAAAATCAAATTGATAATTCCCTGATAATTCATAAATGCAATAAAATATTCCTTAAAACCTTCCAATGGATGAAATGGATGTAATATTCAGGCCTAATTTTTTTTGTTTTGTGGTGGATTGTTACTATTGAATATTTTGATTATGTTTCACTTAAATTGAATAAAGCAATTAACTTTCAGGCTCAAATCTCAATAAATGCAATATTTAAATTTAAAATATAAACATTATTAATAAGTTTTAAAAACAAAAATTAAAAAAAATGAGATCAATGATATTAACAGTATAAAAGCGTTAATTTTTCATTTCAAAAACCGTCTTTTTCCAGATCCTTGCAAAATAAAGTAAAAACTTTTACATCGTTTTGATTGATTTAAATGGACAAGCGGTGGCTGTAGGCTGACGGTGAGGGGCAGCTCTTAAGACTATCTGGCGTCAGGGGCGGCTGCAGCAGAAGCGCCGCGCTAGTGTCAATGGGAGGCGGTTTGGGGGCGCGCTGCTTGAGCGGCTTTGGCGGGGGCGGCTCGTCGTCGGACGGCGGGTAGTAGATGGCGGTGAGCGGCTCGCGCAGGTACAGGATCTCAGGGTGCGACTTCTGCGGCGGCCGCAGCAGCAGGTGCTGCGTGACGTAGTGCGACGAGTGCGAGTTCTGCACGCGGAAGCGCGGCGTGCTCATGTGCGAACTGGAGATCCGAGGACTCGAGCCCGCCGGCGACGAGCAGCAGCTGTCGCTCGAGGGTGGCGACGGCCGCCGGTTGTGCCGGTGCGGCACCACCGGCAGGCAGCAGCAGCAGTTGCACGAGCACACCGACGTGTTGGACGCCAGGGAAGTCTCACTAGCCGAGGTGGCCCCTCTACGGCCTCCGTGACCACTAATTATTGACCCGTTGGCAGTTATTACGTCGCCTTCCAGTCTTACTGCACCTTGAGCAGCCTGAAAAATTACAATACTATTGTTAGTCTCTTTTGGAAGTTTCTTTCATAAATTTGTGCAAAAACCAATTTTATTATAGATGCAACATTGCAGGTATAATTCATAACACGTATTTCTAAATACTTTTTCTTCAGATGATATAATTTATAAAGTTAAGAATCACTAATTGCTTCATTTTATTTAAATATTTTTTTTCAATCTTCTAAAAACTTGCCAAAAAAATAAATTGAAAGAATGAAATCAAAACATTTACTTAAGAGTTATCCCGTGTAAATAAAAAGTTCAGCTTGCAATATTTTCGGCAAAACAATCGCTCTTCTGCTCTTATATATTTCTTAAATCCACAATTTACCTCCTGCTTGAATTTCGTTTAATTATTAAAAGGGGGTAATCAATCTGAAGTAGCCTGAATTTGAAGGAGGAACTTCTCCCCAAGTACATATTACGTAACGATAAAATTTTTATCTTTCGCATTTATGCCTGATTTGAAGTGGAGTCTTGCGTTTGAGAGGCTTTTCAAACATGTGTACCTACTTCCTGTGTGCTCACTGCCTACCCACTCGAGACTTTATTCAATGACGTCTTTTTGCGTTTGGAAATCAATTTCCTTTGCTCTGTCAAACCGATTTATAATAGCAGAAGCAGCGTATGTATACATAATGTAAAAGTTGAACGCAGTATTGAGTTATGAGGCGACCTGCAATTTTCCTTGCGTGTATGAGGCGGAAACTGTGCTTCCACCCACTCTCATAACAGGAAGGACGTTATTGAGACTCGAACAGCGTGTGACGAAGACTCAAAAGCACCACACTGGATGTACGTCATTCATTAACAATTGAAAATTCCATAATGCCAAGTTAATGTGATTCTTCGGCGGAATCCAGTGAAAAATTTATATTATAATACTTTGAGTCAATAGACTATAATTTTTTTTGTGGATTACTGTTTGAAAAGATGAAAATAATTTATTTATTTTACCACCCAATGCTTCATTATAGGGCTAAAAATAACAATTTGATTAAGATCAAAAGTTAGTAAAAATCTAGGCTTCTTGCCCTTCTTTAATGCTTTTGATTTGATTAAGTTTGTTTTGATTTGATTTGTTAAGTTTTGCACAAGAAGTTTGGATCTCGTGTAAGAATCACCTTAAGCAGAGGATGGAATAAAGTCAGAGTTTTGTGGGTGGCTGAATGGGTGGCAATTTGTTTGAAAGGTCAGCGAATTGAAGCGAAGTTTACGGGTTGTTGCGCACTCAACAGGTAATGCACGGCGAAAAAGTTTTACCTGTAAAGCTTCAGCTTCGTCTCTCCTCTCGTCCTCAGTGTTCATTGTGACGAAACGGAGGACGAGCAAGTTGAGAGAGGCAGCAACTATTGCGAGGCCGAAGAGAATGAAGATGAGAGCGAAGGCCACGTACTCGGGCTTGCTCTCAAGCGCATTGTCCTTCTGCAAAGCCACCATATCACCAAAACCTGCAAAACGGATCAATTTTATTATATCATCAAGTTGGCTGTATCACATTTTTTTATCGCCTACTTTTTTATAAAAAATAAAGAGTGAGGTTAATAGGATTTGACTAGCCGCGAACTGAGTTCATTACAATTGCAAATGACTTTTAATACCGATCGAATCCATTAAATCAAAAAGGGATATTTCCAGAGAGCTGAGCGTGCAGCACGCCCTGTTGCACGCAACGCACACTATGATACTGTATAAAAATAACTCGCTGATTTATGAGATTGACAAACAGATTGTAAAAAAAAAATGGTGATATTATGAAACATAGCAACAGATTATCAGCAAAAGAAGTATGTAGTTAAAATTTCTTCCGTGTAAAATAGTTAAATTAACCAGTTCCGTGATGGATTATGATACATTTTTAATTGTTCCTGTTTTTTCCAATTAGCGTTTTAAAAAGAACTATAAATATGCTTTGAATATTTTGACTATAATTAGACTTAAGACATAATGATTAATTCCAAGGTCTTATTATATGCTGATTTTTAACAAATTAATTTTGATCTTATTTTAACAACAGAATTGAAAATAAAAGTGAAAGAATAAATTTTTTAATTTTAGTTATTTTGGAAAGAAAGCAATTCTACTGACAAATCAAAGTTTTGTGTGTAATGTGTATTTTTTAATTCTGGGGACATTAATCGTTATTAATTTAAACCCCTGAAAAAATATAGTATCTTTTCAATATTTTTGATATTTTTAGCAGTAACAACCGTTTATACCAGTACAAGCATAACAAATAACAATGAAAATCTTATGATAATGAAAGATAATTATATCTTAAACATTGTTAAATTTAAAAACAATCATCCTTTCCTTTCAATTAACTTTTAAATTAAAGCATTTTCACTCACCTATTGTGGTTAACGTTATGAAACAATAATAGACGGAGTCGAAATACGTCCAGCCCTCGTAGCGACTGAAGGCTGCCGCACCCCCTGCAATTGTGAGCGAGCTCAGGGTGGTCACCACGCAGATCAGGTTCAGTTCGGACGCCTCAACGTCGCGGTAGCCCAGCATCCGCTTGCAGCCGCGAATCACCACCGAGCTGAGCTTGTTGACTCGCTCGCCGATGCTTTGGAACATGACCAGGCCCAGAGGAATGCCCACGATCGCGTAGAACATGGTGAAGAGTTTGCCTCCGACAGTGTTGGGCGTCGAGTGTCCGTACCCTGCCGCAGAAAAAAATATGAGATTTAATCACTTTGGCAAAGTTTGCTGAAAAAAGACGAGGAGAAAGAAGGATTGAGGAGAGCGCCTGCCGTTCGGCGAGTGTGCAACCCGCGCGACGCGAAAGCGTGGCCATTTGCATAACTTTCAATTGCAAATGTGTTCGGCCAAGTGTGGCGCACCGCTGCTGCGGCAATTGCGGCGTCCCATTTTTTGGTCTGCCAATTTTAGCCGGGCAAAATATGGTTCAAAAATTAAAATGAGAAGTCTCTGGTGAAACAATCTACTCTAAAAAAAAAACAGGTATTTAATTTTAATGCAAATGAAATGTCTAAAATTTACATTTCATTTAAATTTTGGATAGTATTATTATTTAATATCAAAGGTCATGTAATTAAATTCTCTTAAATCTCATCAAATATTTAAATTTATTAAATGCTTTTATTATTATTTTTGTTCATTTTAATACTATATAATGTTGAGCTTTATAGACTTAATGGGTTCAAAAGCAATTCAATAGTTTAGATTTGTAATAAAAGATTTTCTACTGCATTAAATTCAAATTTTAAAAATATTGATAAATCGCTCTTTTTGTCCAGAAATGTCTTTGAAAATTTCACACCAGAATGTATAACAATTTGAAAATTCTTTTTATTTGTTTTCTTATGTCTAAAAAGAAACAATCAGCGGCAGTCAAGATTAAAAAACAATAAGTAGATAATTAATGTCAGTTTTTGATTTGGTTCCATGGGCATACCTATGGTAGTGAGTACTGTCGTGGCATAGTAGAAGGCGCCCGCAAACTTCCACTGGTGGCCAGCTTTGTGCGGTTCTGATTTCAGCACGATCGTCTCCATCAGACGGTAGTCGTCTTCGGAAATGTTGTATTTGCGCTTCACCATGTTCTCAATTGCTAAACACAACAAGAGAAGAGCGAATCACTGCTTGAGCATTGGCGATGGAACACAAATAGCAAACAAAACAAGTCAACAACAGAGAATCGATCTGGCGAGACGTCAAGCACTGTAGGAGAATTTGTTTGCAAATTAATTTTCAACATTTCAAGGCATTTGGAAATTTTTCAATTTCAAAGTGTAATTATTCTTTTTACAATCTTTAAGGTCGAAGCAGAATTTAAAATTATTTCTTTTTTAAACCAAACATAATTATAAATAGAAAAATTTATAAGGAATAGCACAATTTTGTCTATTTTATTCGTACAATTTTTACTGAACTACAATTCAATAACACTTTCCTACCAGTCCTAACATTTTGTTTTTTCTTTAAAAGTAAACTTATTATTTGCCGTCTCTTGCCTATACTTAAGGAATAAAGTACCAGGTCGACAAATTGGATTACTTAAATTTCCTTGCTCCATACGGAAAAGCTTTTGTTGATTCTGTACCAATGTGAAGATGGTGAAAAAAAAGGAACAATTCAAGCTGCGCAAACCGTGCAGTGTCTGCTCCGTAGCACCCAACTCAAACTCGTCGCCATTAATCCCTCCTAAAGGGTGGCTGTTTATTTATCGCGCGCTCGGATGTAAAAGAAAAGAGAGTGCAAAAGGTGGGCGCTCGTTATCCGAGCCGGTCACACTTTCCTTCTATAAAAGGTCAGTCGCCCGTGTTTAATTCAATTAGAGTCGATAGCGAATATTCGCGCCTGAGCGGTGTTCGCGTTCAGAGCGTCCCTCTCGTCATTAAAAATTCCATCAACCCGCAAAGCCTTCCGAAGCATACCCTATTAAAAGAAGTTGCCTCGAGCGGCTCGTTGCGGTTTCCCAGCATCGGAGATAAAAAATGTTCTAAACTTTCCACGCGTGAAATTTTTGATTGGAGAGAAGCAAAAAATCTTGCCTGCAAAATCGTGGGCGGATTATAGTATAGACAAGTCGAAATTTCACCTCGTGGTTGACCTGATGACATTTGGAAAACCCGTGCCACCCGGAGTGGTGTGTGGGCAGGACACTTGACGGGCGGATATCAGAATGGGGAGACTGTCTCGTGACATATTATAAATGTTATTTTTACTACTCCTATTATATAGTTATACGAGCTTTCCATTATTTACATATGCTATTTGGATCAACGTTACGCTTTAATTTAAGTTGACAAATATTTTGTTACTACAAAAATAACTACAACATAAATAAATCATTAAAATAATTTTTAAATCAAATTTATAACATTATTTATACTTTCTTTTCAAATTTTTTATTAATTAAAAAATATTTTTGATATAATTTTTATAGTTGTTTTAGTTCAAATGAAAAATAATATCAATTTGTTCTAATTTGTTTAATTAAATAAATTTTCTTAATGTATATTAAGCAATTGTCAGCGCATTATAATACGTTGTCAATCAAAATAACATTATATTCTTTGGTCTGGACTGCCTAAACAAGAATAAAATAAGTGTTAATGAAAACGCTGAGAATTCAAAGAATACGTTGTTATTCTATAAGTGGGGTTTACCAACAAATTTTTATGGCAATTTATTAGAGAGCCTTCTGTTCAACGCTGTACGATTATTTAATTTCATTTAATTATACAGAGCCATCAAATGAAACCAGAGCGGTCTGCCGTTCAAATTTAGAGTTATTACCCAGCAGTGTGGACTTTTCCGCATGGCAGATTTAAACCCACACTCGTCTCAAGCTTCAGCTTACGTCAGTCTCGCCCAGCGGGAAACCTTTATTGGTCCGAAATTTAGACTTCTTAAAGAATCATTAATCAAATTGCATTAAATTTATGAGGACAACAAATTGAGGATCAAAAAATCATGTTTTTTTTTATAGCGTGTCTACGAAAATTTTTTTAAATGATGATTTTGGGCAACCACTATTTTCATTAAGATTTTTAAATCGATTGAATTTAAAAATTGGTTAAAAAGGCTAATAATTAAAATTAATAAAAACCCGCAGTTTTTTTAATAATTTCTGATTCGGTAGTTTTTAGACAAGCGCATTTCTGGTTAAAAATGGTGACCACTTCAGAACATCATCCAAGAACCCATTTGAGCTTGAGGAAAATCTTCCTATTCACCGAGACGAAGTGAAAAGAATCTTGGGCGAAAGCGTTTTTCCCGTTTGCAGAAGCGGGCGCGTGAGTCACGAAGCTTTTCTCTTATACTGCAGGTATGGGCCAAAGTTTTCACGCACTCGTGGTTTTCCCCATAACCCCCCTGCAACACGCCGGCACCAGCGGGCATTGATTTTCGCTCTAGTCTCTCTGCTGTGCCGAGCCTCTCTTTCGGTACCGAGTGGAAAATAATGCAGCTTAATTGTGTGCCGCTCAACAAAAGCAGCCCGGCGAGGGCGAATAATTCAATTTCACCGGGGCGGCATTAAATAATTTATGCACAGCCTCCGTCCCTCTTTCTGGCTAATTGTGTATATGCTTAAACCACCTCTCGTTTAATTAAAACACGGCTGAGTGAACTTTGCCATTTCTCGTCCGTCCGTCCATCCGAAGTGGCTGTTGCAAATCTTGACTCTCGGGGGATATTTTTTTTGTCAGCACGCCGCTTTTCGCACGCCGAGGGATGAGCCCGGATTTGCGACGAGGGTTGCCTGCCATTCGACGCAGAATGAGCCGTGTTTACTTCTACACAGATCCTGGCTCGCAAAACCACACCAAATGCTAATGGAATTAACTACTGCAAGAGTGTAACGTTTGAACAGGACCTCGTTTGCAAGTTGTTAATTCGGGGGTAGAGGCAACAACACAAAAACAAAACTTTTTGCCGGCAGCGCAACCAGAAGCGCAGAGAAGCATGTTAAAATTTCTGACGCAATCGTCTCAGCAAGCCTTTTGGGATGAAAATAATCTTATTTGTTTATGGAAGTCTTTGCAAACAAACTTTCAGTGTGAGGCACCAAAACATAACATGAACAGTAAACATAATTCATTATTGTTCTTGTTTTGAATTAACTTTGAGTGGCGCATTTACAGGAGAGTTCAAATGTAATACTTTGTCTGAATAAATTTAAATTTTCTGTATTTTCTATACCCATAAAATAAGCTAAAAAAATCGCGATAAATCAAACTTTATTTTAGAATCTTAGAATAGGCAAAATTTCCCTCACATAGCAATAAGAATGTGTAATTTTTTTAATATCGTATTGAAAAATTCAGCTAGTTTGTCACATTTCTATTATAAAATGTTTTGGAATGAAAATATCAACCTCTATATTTCAGAGCGCATTTCTCTTGAATCCAAAACGTTTTGGCGGAGACCTGCTTGACAAAGATTTTGTCGTTTTTTCGTGCTTTCTTTGTTCCTTAATTTGCAATAAATAACTTAAATTTTACTTTATTGATTCAATTTACTTATTTTTTTCCAAATTCTCGCCAGATCGAGACTTGCAATTGAATAAATAATGTAGGAAGAAAAAATGAGACTCACCGTCGAGGACTTCCCAACGCCTCTTCTCCGTCTCGGATTCGAGTGCGTCAAAGACGGCGGCTCCGACTAGTAGGTAAGTGAAGGTGCACACGATGAGCGATAGCGTCCGCACATTTTGCTTCTTCATTCCTGCTGGAGCGCGAGGGTGGCCAAAGGGTATTCAGCACGCGGCCATTATAGCCGAGGGGAGTGCTGCTGCTGCGTGACTGGCTGCATACACACAGGCGGAAAAAGAGTTAGTCGTCACAAAGTGCATTTCACTACTGCGTGAATATTGCGGGGAGCGGCGAGGAGGGTGGAATTAAAAATTAAGCACCAGAAAAGGGGAATGACCAGTCGGGTTAGAAGGAAACAACGTGGCCTATTTTTAAAACTATACACGGAAAACATGAAGTTGAAATTGTGTTGTCTTTTTTGAAACAAGAATAAAACCTACATGATATTCCAATAATTAAGAATTAATTTTCTTATTCAAAATTTAAAAATGTGCAGATATATAAATTACTTTACTTTGAAGTAAATATGACTGGTATGGGTGCTTTGGGAACATTTAATTAGATTTGTTCCGTGGCAAATCAATCAATGTGCATATGTGTGGTCTATGAATATTATTATATTGTACTCATAATATGTAATTTTTTTATTTCGGTCTGAATATTGGTTAATTTTTTTTTCAATTTTCAAAATTAAATTATTAGAATTTCCTTCAAAATATTAAAATATGTCCAAAAATCAACTATTAATGAAAATCGGCCTTTAAATTTACTTTATATTTTGTGCAGCAAAATAATTATTTGGCACATTTATAATTATTTTATCGACATGGCAGCAGAGCTTGAACCGCAGACAATCAAGGATACTCGCAACACGAGGAAAAGGACAAGACAGCTAAACCGCATATCAAAACAAAATCTACCAATCACATGCGAAATGAGGGCGGTGAGCAGAGACAAGGTCAATGCAGAGAGTGACAATAACAGGAAGATTAAGTTTGATAAAAATCCAGAACAAAAGAAAAAAGAAACACACAGTGCAAATACAGTTAATTTAGTTGCAAATAATATTTATTGATATGTGAGAAAATAATTTTCCAGAATTCCGCATGGATTTCAATAATTACTTTAAAAGTGAAGCGCTTGCTAATATTTAACATACGTAAAAGTTGTGACAGATGTTTGGGACAAAAATGAACACTACAAACTATCATTAACAAATTTGACTTTTTTTCCAAAATTATTATTTAAATAAATATATATTTCACTTAATTGCAGTTTTCATAGGTAGGTTTTTTGAATCCGTGGGCAAAAAGTTTCACAGGAAAGGTAAATTCTAATTTCAAATTATGTTTAAGCATTTAAATGGAAAAAATGGGGTTTTTTTCTAGAGAGGAATGCGTATTCTAGGAAATTTGGGTCCAAATGTTAATGGCTTGCTCATCTCATCAGAAACGAGGAAAAGAAGTGTCCTTTTCCTCATTGCTGGCGTCATCGTCATCAGGACTGACGCCTCCATATCACATTTATTTACACAAGATTTATGAATAGATAAAACTATGCAATTACATAATTGTATGAATACAGCGAAATTGGAACTCACCAAGAGTGTGAGCGACAGCAAACTCCCATGTCCGAATTTTCGGCGCCTCTTGGAGAACAAACGCCTCATAAGTCGTCGTGATGATCCGTCGCAGGAAGTGTGTGCGGCTCAAGTCTGGCGACCCATGTCACTGTCAACAATCATACGCATGCAGGTTCAATGCCTTTCTGCCAGGGCAATTGCTCTCGACGCGTAGCCCGGTCTCTGTGCGACGCCGCGGAAAATGATGTGTATGTTAATATGTATGCCCGTCATTGTTTTGACTGGCGCGGTGCTGCGCTGCTGGAAAATCCAAAGCCAGACACGAGTGGCTTTCAACTATATCGTTTTTTAACGAGAAATAATTGAACGCGCCTTCGTGACGTGCGAAGCGTGCGCGGTTCTATTTTTGGACCTTTGCAGAATTTGCAGTTAATTGAGTGAGCCACTATTTCTAATTACTTTGCTCGTCCCCTTTTTGCAAAATGAAAAATGATGGTACGTGCTCAGAAATTAAAATAATTTCATTTTTAATTAATTCATGACAAAAGGTTTTTAGTTTTCATTAATTTTTTACTTGATGAAAAGTCGTAAAGTTTGACAACGTATCAATTGGGAGAATAATACAATCATATTTATCTTATTTTATAATTTTTAAACATCCCTATCGTTAATTAATTCATGGTGCACGGTGAACTCGATTTAAAGTTCTGATTTAACTCTATGAATGAATTTTTCAGTTTGTTTGATAAGAAGTTATTTATGATTTTTTTTGTCATGTATTCTGCCATGAAACAATAAAAAATACAAAATGACTCTGTCTGAGAAAAAGCTAAAATTAATTTTTTACCCTTTGGAACGACATGAATTATGAAATACCTTTGTGAGCTTTTCCCAATTCCTTGTAATTTTCTTTGATAGTAAAATGTAAATAAATGGTACGACACTATTTTTGAGAAAATTTTATACAATTGTGAAGCAAAATATCTCATCATATTGATCAGCGTGAACGCATATTTCAGTGATATGAAAAGTCCCTTGATAATTTGAGTTAAATAATTTTTTAACGGTTTCTCAAGTTTCCATTTTAGCAGCCAAAACTTTAAAAACGGCTTTCAGAACTTGCCAAGAATATTAAAATCTAATAATAGTATTTATACAATTAATCCATTTGTTTGTGATGAGATAATATAAATCTCCAAATAATAAATGATTCACTATGTATAAATAATTTAATTGCTTGAATCAATCTTATACTTATTTTCCTATACATCAGACAATTTATTATAATGACTTAGAACTTTATTTCCTTTGATTTGTCTAATTAAGACTTTTTTAAGTTGTTGACTTTTTATATTATTTTGGAAAATTCTCTATTTAGCTGAGGATTTCATTTGAGAGAAGCCTTTTGTAACTTTTCTTCTTTTGAATGTTCTAATTGTAAGCTATACATGAAAACCCCGTCCATAAAGACTTAAAGATTGCTTTTGCTTTAATTTATATTAAAAAAAAGCAATCTTCCCCTCTCGCTTTCTATTTTTATCAGCAGCAAGAAAACCCGAGTTGTGAAAAGCGAAATAAGAAATCCTCTTGGAGCAAAATCTCCAGGGGAACGATTTAATTAATAAGCGGCTCATTATTCCAATTGTGAATGCAAAACTTTGTAGCAAACGGCCTGGTGGGTGCCGCACTTGTTCTCTCCGCCCTTTCCGTTTTGTCATTGCGAAAATGCTGCTGCAGCCCTCACGAAAGGGGGTATTTCGAGCCGGTGGCTATTTCAATTCAGCACTGCTGTTATTGTTTCCTCGCGCGCGTATATCCGTGGGACGCTTCTTTTTAATGGCTTTGCGAAATGAAGCACACTTTGGTGCCTTGAATGGCGTGTGTGTGTGTTGTGTATGCCGCGCTCTGTTTTTGTTGCACTGCTTTGAAACACTCACAGAGACCACTTTTCTCTCGGCAAAAATAGAATATTATGTGCGCGCTTAATTCCCCTGTCACTCACGTTCCCAGGGAGTTTTTTCTGATCTAAAATAGCATTTTTTTTAATTTCGTAAATGAAAAATGGGGGAGAGGAAAAACGTAAGAGTGAGTCATGAAATAATAAATAAATAAGTTGGATCTCAAAAGGCCAAAAGTCATTTTAGGTACCTTAATTGAAGTTTAATCATCGATTAATTTACTTTTTTTGCATGTTTGAAATAGAAAAAAGCTTGTGAGCTGTAAATCTTATGAATAAATGCTTTTAATTATGCAACTCCATTATTGCGATTTGTGATGGATGCTAACTTCAATTAAGTTGATTTATGTTATTTAATTTTCATGATATTTTTGAGAGAATACAATGAGAGCGATTCACAAGCCTAACGCATTTGAGGTTGAATTGTTTTCAAAAATTTAATCAAAACAATGCGATGTCAAGAATTGGAAAAATAAACAACAACAGTAATGAGGGTTAAGTTAGCCTGGGTCAGGTTATGATCTTGGATCTCCCTTTATGTTTTATTGTAGATGTTGAAATGGTAAGAAAATTTAAGTTGTGTTCATTTTTTCAGTTAGTTAATTGTATGTTATTAATTATATTCAATTTGTTTGACAGTTAATCAATTTATAACTGAACACTGAATGCATAATCGCACAACTTTAATAAATGATCATTCGTTGCTACAAAGTAATCCTTCTGAGGAACAATTTACGTTATTTGAAAAGCCTGTTAAAACTTTTAGACGGAAAATTTTATAAATATATACAGCAAAAAAATGTCAACAAAATTCTTTTAATAATTAAAATTAAATAATAAAAAATTTATAATAAAAAAAAATTAAATTAAAATATAAAGAAAAAAGGAATAATTATTGAAATGTTTATATAATTAATATAAAATGTTTTTTTAATGTCAACAAACATAATAAAATTATTATACTAAATTTTTATTAAATAAGATTGACTATTAAGAGAGAAGTACCTGATTTTTTTCTAATGATTTTCAAATTTGCAATTGATTTCGTAGACATTATGGTTAACGCATGATTTTTATTGCTCCTAATATAAATGTTGCAGCAAGCATTTCTTTCAAAATTAAATAAGTACTTTAATAACAAGTCAAACATACTTTTCAGTGCTCTAAATTAAATAAATGGTAAACTTTGAACTAACACGCTTCAGATTTTGTTTCTAAGCATTTTGATTATCTTATTTGCAGAGCTCAATAAAAATGATAGAAAAAATCTAGCAATGCCAAAACTTTATCCCACTTTCAGCACGAGCCGATCTTAAAAAAAAAATCATCAGTCGTGGACAAATTACGAAGGAAATTGCGGATGCAAAGCGGAAAGGAGCTGTCGCTCCAGCTGCTCTCTCGCGAGTGGTGCACAACCTCAAAGTAGGTTACGGAGCACGACCTTAAACTCCTTTTGCCACCTTGCATTTGGCCAAGGTGAACGAAAGAAAGCCCGGGTTCTTCTCAAAAACTCAAAAGCAGCCTCAAAAGGTAACCCTGATTGCAAAAAAAGGGTTTGAATTAAAAAGTTCTGGTCTCACCTGCAACCAGAGTGCGGAGAAACGGAGAAGGCGTCAAAATAACACACGGCTGGCGTCGCAGGGCATGTAAAGCAGGGGGCTATTTTCGGGGGCCAGTCGGGGGCTCGTCGGACGCACGAGGAGAGCTCGGAGAGAGAGAGTGGCGGCGGCGCCGCTCGCAGCTTCGGCTGGCCAGGCTATCTACTGAGGCTGCGGAGCTGCCTTACATGGTGGTACAGAGACGGCGACGTCCAGCCCCAGAGCGCATCGCGAAATCGATGAAACTGCGAGTAAATCGATATCGCAGCACACGCTGCTGCTCCGAGCTGCGGATGACGACATCCCTCTCTCGTTCTCCACGTTCGTCTTTCCTCCCTGCGCGACGCACGCAGCCAGGGGATGCCCCGCGCCACGAGGAACAATTCTATATGATATCTCTCTTTATTGTTGGCGGCGTGTCTGCCAGTTGGCCTGGATTTCGCCCTGCCCGACAGCGGCCATTTTTCGCACACGAAACCGCGCACCACCCGCCGCCGTCGTCGTTATCGTCTGCCACCGACCGAGTGAGAGCGGCGAAAGTGCCTCCGGGCTCTCGTTAACTTTAATGCACCCCCGCGAGTAAAATAAAACACGAATCAAAAGAAATAATGACATTTCGCCACTTTGAAGTATTTTGCAGAAAGTGAGAAAAAAAGCTGGGAAAATCAATAATATTGAAATAAAATTTTGGTTAATATTAATTTTTTTAATTTATATAAAAAGAATAGTTTATGCTTTTTTAGGAAATATGAATAAAAAGTGCATATTAATTAATAATTTATAAAACTGATATATCCGCCATTAAAATCTTAAAAATGTATTTTTCTATACTAACTATAGATTTAAAAATAAATTATATTCAATTATAGGAAGTTTTAATATTTAGTAATTTTTAGACAACAAATATATTTTTCTTAGCCCACTATGTGTTCCATTTTTAAATAGCCACCACCTCTAAAAACCTTACCGTTATTTCTACAACCACCAAAAACTCAAACACAAGCAAAACCATAATATATCCACAAACCCCGATGTCACAACCATCAATATTAAAGCCTCTTCCATTACTCCAAAATCACCAGAAACAAAAGGGCCGCGCAACACAATCAGCAAGCTTAGGCTGAAAATTTTTAAGTTAAAAAAATTGTATAACGCCATCTTCATCGTTAAGTTTTCATATGGCCAATCGAATAATATTTTTTAATTATTCCTCATTCGTGTGAAATTAAAATCACGCAATTCATCTTACATCAGAATCAGATGAAGAAATGAACGCATCAAAATATTGAATAAATTACCAGATTATAGAACAGAGGAGATTTCAGCTGCTGTTAATAGTAGGATTACACTTTATCATTTCAAAAATTTAATTTTTTAAATTTGATGGCTTTATGGGCTTTATACAGTTTTCATATTGACCACGCGTAGCCCAGATCATTGCGCGCGCTCCTTTCACCCTGTTGCACGAGGTTGCCAAAATCGCCGCCAGATGGCAGCATCAATTCAAGATACTGGTTTTGTTTTTGGGTTTTGTGTTTTGTGTTGGTTTTTGTAAAAACGCGGCACCCGGCATCAGTCAGCCAGCTCGTCTCTCCTCTCCTTGTTTACGTTTTCAAAATTTGCTATTCTTCCCTTTTTCGCAACAATCATCGTTAGTCTGACTCAAAAGGTTCTCAATGCATTGATAAATTTGAAATTCAGCGAATGCTCCGTCGTTTAAGAAGTTAATCGAGGGAAAAGTTTCATCACTGAAGCGTAAATGGCGCGCACAAAGACGTGAGTTGAAACATGTTAAAGTCTCTGATTATGTTTAATGTTCTTCTTTGCAGCCAAGTTAGGAATAGTAAAGCATCGCCGAAAAAGTCACTCTTGGCCGCAAAGCAGCAGCGACATCAGCATCCCGCTTTGGCTTTGGCCCAGAAAAGTCCCAAGAAAAGGGAGAAACCGCCAACGTCGAAAGGAAAAACTACAGCGGTTGAATAAAATTTGTAAATTATTCGACTTTAAACTGAATTAAATGTTTAGCAAAAGAAAGCAAAAGAGAGGCCGAGACCTGGAGCCAAGGCCTTAATGGAAATCAGGAAATACCAAAAGTCTCACGAGTTGTTAATACCCAAGCTTTCCTTTGGCAGATGCGTCAGGGAAGCCATGAATTGCTTCTCAGGACGGGATCTCAGGTAATCAGCAAGTAATAATCACATCAAGTGATAAGCATTAAAATTTCATCAGTTGTAACAATTAATTCTCAAACTACAGCATGGTTCTTAAGTATTTTTACATTGAATTTTTTATCTTCTATTCCGTGTATTTCATGATAAATTTGAAATTTCGACAAAATAATTTGTTCCATTTTGGAATTATAAATTTATATAAAAAAACTTTAAAACAAAATGACACAATACATGAAATTCAGTTACATATTTTAATATTTTTAATTGAATTCGCAATGTCACGAAGGTGATGGCAAAGGAAATTTAGATAAGCGCCTTGTTACTTACTCGTCTTGTTGTTGCAAACACTAGAGAAGAGATTAGGGTTTTTTTTAGAAATTTTTGGCACTGCAGATGTGAGTTCCTTCTTCAGCTCTTTATTTTAACCAACAAGTTTAATATCTTAATTTTTTTATTGGCGGAAGTAGCAATTATAAAGTAGGCAAAACATGAAATGCATCTGCGGCCCACCTGGGCGCTGATTGAGGTCGCGAGTAGCAACTTTTTTGCTAGAGGTGTTGCTGGGTGTTGCCATTATTTTATTTTTTGCTTGATATTGGAAGATTTACCATTTACAAAAATACTGATATCATCCTTTTTGCTGGTTGTGAGCATGGAAATTAATTTCACGTAAAATTTTTAAATCTCTATTCTTGTTGAAATTTTAACGAGTTCATTTTCCAATAGCTTGATTTTGTTTAACTTCGATAATGAATTATTGATTTTTTTGTTTTATTCTAGAATCACTGCTGAGGCCCTGATGGCTCTGCAAGAGAGTGCCGAAGCCTACATGGTTCAGTTCTTGGAAGATTCGTTCTTGTTGACTCTGCATGCCAAGCGTCGAACTCTTTTTGCCCAAGACATTGTTTTGCTCAAAAGGCTGAGAGGGCGTGATGATCCGTGCAACTAAATCAGCAATTGTAAATATTCTGAAGACTCTCAAATCGACGCATTTTCTAAATTAGGTTGTGAATAATTATGACTTGTACAAAGTAACAATTTGAATTAAAAGTTAATTCAATGCCAGTTTCGATGCTGTGCCCAGTGTACTTCATGCAAAGAAGCTTTTAAAGTTTGACTCCTAATCAAGCTCTTAATTTGATTTGAAAAGTTGATAAACAAAAATATAAAATAAATTTGTCATTTTTAATCATCAGAAAACATCCCAAATCAAAAGAGTTTTCTGGGTAACTTTAATGTTAAAATTCATAAATATTTTTTAGTTGAAATTTGAGATACGCTAATTATTCGAATTTTGAGCCTCAGCTTTCATGTTGTGGTGAGTTCCTTCTCAAAATTGGACATTAATTTTGGATTCATTTGAATAAATACGACCTGAAACAAAAGCTGCTGCAATGGGAGCTGTTTTTTGGGCAATTCCAACTTGTATATCTCTATTAACCCGCAAAGATTTCCGTTTTTTAATTATGGATGCTCAATCACTTGTTTTTATTAATTAGAACATCAGTATGTATTTATTGTCCTTAAATAGTTTTTCTAATAGGTGGTGAATATTACATGGAAATAAAAATATTCATTTTCTAACCTATCATTTATTGTTATTACTAAATTTATTTTTAAAACCTGCGAAGGTCAAAATATGTACTCAAATAGTATCAATCAACTTGAATCTGTTGTGTTGAGGTTGGTTGAGTACATGAACGTACTTTTTGTAAAGATAAGTAATGTCCTTTCCGCCGTAAATTCTCTGCACCCACGAGTGATCCATGTTGAGGTCGCACTTCTCGCTGGTGATTTTGACGATTCCGTCCTCAATGGCGAACAAGGTGCCGTCCTTGCCTAACCCTACGTTCAGTCCAGGGTGGTAATTGAGTTTCCTCTGCGTCACGACCTTCGTGCCAGCCGTCACGTAAACTCCCTCATTCTTCTTCAGCCCTCGGAACTTTGGAATCGGAGTTTTTCCTCGCTGGTTCTTGGTGCTGCCGCCTGTTTTCTTTGAAGCATTTCGAGCCACTGAAATTATTACAATAATTAGAAAAACGCAAAGAAAACTTAAGAAGTTGAATGACAGAGAGATGTATTTTTATAGAACATATAAATGAAAAATTATTATGTATATATGCTTTGTGGGTTAATTTGATTCTAATGAAATTTTCTTACCGATTGATGCGGGCAGGGCTAAATTTTCAAGCTTCCCGACAAGGAAATTAGATTTTCCGAGAAGATTTTGAAGCAAAGCCATCTCTCTGCTGTGATTTTAGAAGAGAGAAAACTAAAATGTTATTTTTATTATTGTCCAAAATCAAACAGTTCTCAAAAATTTTCTCTCCACGCCCACCTGAGAAGGGGGCGTGTCCAGCTCCGTCTTTGGCATGGAACTCGTGGATCCTGTGTGTTAGTTTAGTAATGTGAATTTTGACTTTTCTTGAAAATATTTGTGGCAAAATGATAGAGACGTCAGGAATTTCCCATACCAAGCAAGTGCAGGATGAACCCGGAAACTCAAGGTGAGTAAATCTTGGGTGATCAAAATCTGATAAAAATTTAACAGAAAAGAAATTGGCGACGCTTTCGCTGCACATCAATCGCGAGAAAGAAAAAACAATTTTTTTTGCGTTTTGTTTGATCGGTAAAAGTTATATGATAACTAATTTTTTCATGATTGCTCATTAATAATTGTTTATTGTATTTGCAAACTGGATCGGATTAGGATTGTGTCCTTACAATAATTACAAAATGTGCATAATTCAGTTATGATTAATTGTTTTCTGTCTGGTACATGTACTTTGCGGAAATTTTCTCTGCTGTTCCATACAAGCTTGGACAAGGTACATACGGACATAAATTTTCCGCAACCAGTCTATGCCTTTAACTATTTTTTAAGTTTTTTACGTTAAGATTATTTCTTTAAAAATAACCATTACTTGCATTTTATATTTGCAATGAAGTATTAAAAATTCACATAAAAAAACCAATTTTATTTCTTGCACACTTAAATTTGCCAATTTTCATTCCTCCCTACATAAAATTAATTTAATAAGCTGAATTTCATGAATAATTTAATTTTACAAGAATAGAAAATTTCATATTGGAAACGATAATTCTTGTAAAAATATAGATAATAATAAGTTATTCTGCTGTGCATGAACAATTTAAATGAATATGCAAATTTTGATAAAAGTAACAATGAATTATAAATAATATAAACGATATAAACCATATCAAAAAGTCAAAAATAGCAATAACGACTTTTAATAATAATAATTATTTTTGCGAAGGAACATTTTGGCCTCACTAAAGTTCGCTCCATCTTCGCGAGATGGCCATAGGTATGGGCATTCAGTCGGCCTATTTAGGGGTTCAAAGGCGGGGTTCGTTTGTCGGAAAGTGCACTCCAGCAGCGTTGGCAAAATCGATGGCAGGTTGATGCGTCTGTGCAGAATGCGTGTGCATATTTTATGCGAACAACGTCACAGTCCCGGAATGACGTAACCTTTCCCTGCCCACACTTTTAGACGGGATTAAATATGACTCTTGAGGAGGGTCGTAATTTGTAAAAATTGCAGTAGTTGAGTTTTGCCACTTTAATCTCATTATTTGAAAGTTATGATCGCTGAATAATTTGGAAATTTTCGTACCATGTTTCGATTTGCGATGAAAAATAAGAACAGTTTGTTAAAATTTTAAAAAGTTCACATATCCAATGAAATGTTAAATTTTTTTGAGGAGGATTGAAAATTATTTTTTTCAAAATGAAAAAGTTTTTTACAATTATTCTTTCTTTTAACGAAAAAGTAAGAACTGCTTTTTTTAATTGGCAGATTCTCGCTCTCATTGACAGTGTCAGGATTCCACAATTGAATTCTTATTCTAAATGTTCACCTTTAAAATCAATTCAAATCAAATATTTCCACCCACAAAGTGGAGTTAGCTGCTCACCCTAACTTGATTTTTTTTATTCATTCATTTTTATTGTGATATATTTCTGTCGAATTTACCAAAGGATTTTGCCAACGTCAAGATAAAATAGAATAAAAGTTTTTTTCCTTCTCTTATTGACTAGAATCATTTTTAAATTGAATTCTTTACATAAAAAGAGACAGGTGTATCATTATAATCAAAGATCGCACGGCGCACTTCCATAATAATTTGACTATTGCCTAGCATTTTTCCTGTTCCGATAGCTTTCATTGCATTGTAGAGCAGAGCTTGAGTTCAATTCCATTGACCGGTGATTCTGAGTCATCAGCTCATGCGAACCAAATAGAAAGAAGGTTCTCAAGGGTCAAATTAATGGTCGAAGTAGCGCATTTTCTTACGAGAATCATTAAAGGTCATAGAGAGGAATCAGTTGGACTAATATAAATTTTCCTCCTCACGAGAAAAGAAGAACGCGCTAATTTGATCCAGTGAACTTGTATATAATTGCAATTAAAACTTGTCAAGTCACTTACGTGCTAGAGTCTAAGGTTTCATCAAAACTTTATCAAGGAGGAATCTGATCTAAAATACTAATTGAGCTTCATGACTTTGATACATACAAATTTTCTTGGGTGAAAACCGTCGTCGGCAAGAATATTTTTCTTGTTTGAAAGGAAACCCAAAATGTAATAATTATGTGCACTTAAGCCACTTTTTTATAAATTGATTGATTTAGTTTTTATTAAAAAGCAAAACGGGAAATCAATTTACATAATTTTGTTTAAACAAAGTTTTTTGCTTATAACAAGAACTTATTCTTTTAATAATTTTGTTTCCACTTTGTCATCAGACTAAAAATTCATAAAATACAATTAGAATTTTTAATTATTTGATAAGTACTTTGATAATTAAAGAATAATTCAATATGCTTAATTAAAATTAAGTTTACTATCATATTGTAAGAAATTCATATAGTTTATTATTATTTAAATTGTATTAAATTTCCTTTTGGAAAAATCTAACTTGATTTACGCTTGGCTCTGATGTGGCTGCTCGATCCAAAACCCTGACATTCTACTCTGCAAAGGGAAGACAAAGTTCATTCTGCAGTTCAAAATCCGCAAAATTTCGCAAGTGATTGCGAAATGTGCAAATGCAAATACTGGCGAATAGAGAGCAAAACTAACACAAATGTGACAGTTTGCACAACCCTAGCTGTACTTTAGTCGTGGCACCCTGGTGGGATTTGTCAACAATGGCATGATGAATATTAATTAACTCACTTAACTCTTGACATTTTAGCGAGCAGGAAACAGAATGATCTATACTTCACAAATTTTGGGAGAAGGTCATGCCTATTGAAAGAAATGCTCCAAAAAATATTGATTTTAATCTAGGCGTAACTTAAACTAGGTTAAAAAATTATGTACCTCTAAATTACCAGTCGTTCTAAAATTAAGCCTTGATCTTTAAGTTACAAAAAAAAATGGAATACTGCCCTATAATGAGAAAATTTCTTTTTAAATTAACTTTTAAAATCCTGACTAATTTCCCTTCATTTAAAAAAAGTTATTATATCAGCAAAAAATTTAAAAATTAAATGCTGGAAAATTAGTTACAATAGGGATTGATTTTTGCTGAAAAAATTATCTTCAGACGAAAAATTTAATATCTCTACGGTTTAATCCTTCCTAAATGCAAATGACATAGCGTCATGAATGATATAAGCACCTGATAAGCACTGAAATTTATTAAATAAAAATAAATGCTCATCAATATCTTTCAAGAACAGAAACTAAAAAGTATAAAGAAATCAAGAAATTATATAATATTCAATAACATGTATACTGGAAAAATCACTTTAAAAATTAATTTAAATTAACAATTAACATAAATTTTAAATATTTCAAGTGTGAATTTTACTGTAGGTTTTAGAGACCATAGGGAGCGAAATAAATGGTGCAAATAGTGGAGAAGTGGGCTTTGAGCTCGGGCCAAGAGCAAAGGGTTGATGACCATTGCTGCGTAGGTCGCGGTTCGAGCCCCTGCTGCGGCCTTTCATGCGCCGCGGTCGATACACGGATGGGCATTATATGTACCAGCCTAGCCCATTACTTCGCACACCACCCACTTGGGTGTGCCAAAGTGAGCTTCCCGCATCTCAAGCTCTCCGCAAACAATTGGCTCTCGTCGTGTATAATTGGGCATTCCGTCGCTCGTCCTTGCTCACGTAGGAGGAAATCATGCTGTATTCTCTTCGATAAGGTTAATGACCAGTCAAGGGCTTTATCAGGGTCATTTTTTTTTCTTTCAGAAACTACAAAATAAATAATAAATAGTTAAATATTAAAATAAAATTGTTTATTAAATTTTTAAATGAAATTTAATTCAAATAAATTAATACCTCAACTGTCACACTAGTAAAATATCCAAATATCCTCCAATTTTAATAAACAGAAAGTAAATAATATTAGAGTACTGTCAGATTTCAGTATTTTACCATAGAAATTTCTAGTTTACATTATGCACTTGCTTGACAGTTGCTACATAACAAAATGTTCAGTTTTATTACATTTGTATTCATACATAACGCTTTTATAACTGGGGTCAGTGGAAAAATCCAGTGTCAAAATTAGGTGAAATGGCAAGTGCGTCACCGCGGCGCCAACAAGCTTGAAATTAGCAGAAGCTTCGCATTGCAACTCGCAAGCGTCACTGCTAGACACACCTCTGCATTTGCTCTCGTTATCATCCACGTGACGTGCAAAAAACAAACACCCACTCTCTTCGCAAACTTCTCGGCGCTGCATGAATGGAAGGCCTTGCATAATTCCGTGCACTGCGCAGTTCTCCGTTTTAATTAGCGCGCGATCATTATCACCTGCGTTGGCTCTTTTTCAAACTCAAACCGTGAAAAACTATTGCTTTCTTTTGAAAATCAATGCGAATTCGCTGCTTTTTTACTTAGGGGTTGGCTTGGCTCGAATATCTGTGTCAAAAGCCAGTTACATATTTTTACCAACTGGGTTAGGGTTGGAGCAGCTGATGTCGCAGAAAAAGATATTCAGCTCCACCATTACTCTTTTAATTTAGCAGCGACTCTTTCTAACTGGCGACCGCTGCTTAATTAGTTGGAAGCACCTCATAGTTTCGGCTTCAAAGACGTACGTTAAAAAAAAAATGGAATAATGAAAGAGGACAGTTCGCAAGCCCCTCAAATAAAAACACTGTCTCAACGTCAATCACCTTGACTCGGTTATTTTTATTTAGTTAAAAATGTGTTGCTTGAAACTAAAAATCAGCTAAAAATATCCTAAATTTTATCATTCTTATCGCCAGATTTTCTTTCATAACTTTTAAATTAACGTTTGATTTCAATTTCATTCCATGCAATGAAAAAAAGGAAAAAAATCAATAAATTATGTATTAACACAATATATAACACTTTCCAATTTTTTACGCTCTTAAAATTTTGGTAATAGATTGTATCTTTTTATCTTAAATTGAAGAAAAATTATTAACTTTAAAGAATTTCTTTCAAAAGTGTATCTAATCAGATATGAAATAATGAACAATATTTCAAAAAAATTTGGATTCGTTCTTTATTTACTGCTCACTTTCCAAATAAATATAATTGTCTAGCAAGTAACATTCATCAATAATTGTTTTAGTACTTTTATCTTTTATGGGTTTTACTCGAATTTTTTTATTAAATACTAAAAAGTAGTAAATCTTTTCTCAATATCAGCAGAACTTACCTTGTGTAGTGACCAAAAAATGTTTTTATCTTCATTAACTTATGTAAAGAATGAAGTATAATTTATTATTTAATTTGAATTTACTCTTAAAATTTTATGAAGCGCTCGATGAACTCCTTTGGAAATAAAAATGCATTTTGGGCAGATATTCCAAATTAAAAAGATATGCAACCTGCAGGACCCCTATGTCAAGAAATTGCATAAAATTGGTATATTATGTTATTTTTTATAATAATCAGTCACAGAGACACAAATACACTCTTAATTTTTTAGATTTGATTTTACTCTTCCCCCAGGGTGTATCTAATTCCACACCCCTATCGCAAAAATTCACGGAAAATAAATCAAACAAACATAAAGCGAGATGCGACGTATGAATGTATCTTTAAGGAGGGGAGGAAGGGGCTTTTATTGCAATATCGAGCACCAGATTCTGAAGCCGGAGAGCGGTGCCTCGCGGTGGTGCGCGTGCGAATCGCGCGAGCACTTTGCACGGCCGCTCAAAGATGGGCCTGCCTCGCTGGGCGGGCCGCGATTGGCCGCCGCGGTCGGCGGGAGCGGGCGCAGAGCATGCGGAGTGCCTGCCTCAGTCGAACCCGGGTGGACGCGCGACCAGCACGGAGAAAACGAACGCACGTCAATACTCGGCGCGAACACACAAAACGTCTGAAAGACATTTTAACGGGGTGGGCCGCTGACGATGGTGAACAAGGACGGCGGCAGTGCCCACATGGGCCGCACCAACAACAGCCTGCAGGTGCCGAACGGCAACAACGGCACGCAGCACCACGAGTTCAACTCGATGAATATCGATTCGGACGGCTCCGGAGTCGGAGTCACCATAGTCCTGCCGGAAAAGCAGGAGCGGGCCGCGTGGGATAACAAGCTGCAGTTTTTCCTCAGCATCATCGGCTACTCGGTCGGGCTGGGCAACATTTGGCGCTTTCCCTATCTCTGCCAGCAGAACGGAGGAGGTATGTACATATGTAAACAAAATGCACGTGCTCGGGTCGATCGTGACCCCGGCCGGCAAATCGATTGACTCTGTTTTTTTCCGTTTTTATCGGTTAGGCCGTGATTTGGGGTGCTTATCGCTGTAGGAAGTGGGTTAACCCGAGAGCCCTAAGCGTTTAGTGATAAGCTAGATTTTTGCGAGAATCAACTTTCATCGTCGACGAATCAAAAGTTTTGCTTCAAAATAAAATTGATTCAAGTTCGGAGTGATAAAAAGTTTTCGAGGGCTTGGAAATAGCTGTTCATTTATTTTGGCCAAACTTTTGCACAGTTTATTTCCGGAACTCATCATTGCCAGTTATAATGATTGATATTTTTTCTTCAAGAATAATAATGCTTGATTTATTTTAGTAGTTTCATAAAAATCAGCATAAATTTATGATATGGTAAGAAGTGATGAATTTAATTGAACGTGAATTCAATGAAGTTTCTAATTTTTATAAAATCTGGTGCCCAATAAAAAAAAAATATAAAATTATGTACCCAATTAAAAAAATGCATTAAATATTCTCACAAATATAATTAATTTGTCAGTAAATGAAGTGCTTCAACACATTTTTTTCTCAGAAAACAACAAATTTGAAGTATAAGCAGCCAAGTTTCATTACCAAATTAGCAAGTTATATTTATATATTTCTTTTTCTAAGCCCATTTAGAAAAATCCTTTGGCACCATCGCACGCTAAAAGAAAACTGGACGTCTGCCAATCACGAGAAAATTACATATACATATAGATGTAATTTAAAACATAAACACGGTGCCCACGTCAGCCACTTTGGTCACGTACGATTATCGACGGCTGCGGAGGAGGAAAATGTCGTTGGTTAGAAATAAAAATAGCACTGATAGTTATGCGAAAATTTTGCAAATTTTTGTTATTGAATTTTCTTTACGGGAATAACGTGGTTGCGAGGTGAGCACTGGTTTGTTTTCCAAAACAACCACAGAAAAGTTCTGGAAGCGACATGCGCTTCGCATTAATTATATTCACATAAAAATTGTGTGTGTGTCACTGGCATCAAAATAAAGTGGTATCGAGCGGTGCGCAGGCAGCGCACGCGGGCAGCAAAACACGTGCGTGTGCAATCGGCGAAAATCGATATCGGCGCCACCGCCCTCGTAAACCCTTGCTTCCCCTCCTACCCCCGCCCTCACACATATCCATTTCGTCTGCGGCTTGGCGACGACATTTAAGAAAAAAATTGCAATTGGGTTTGTCAGAACATAAGAAGAAGGTCTCGCTTTCGACGAAATAATAATTACATTCAATTTTATTCGTGACTGCTGAAGGTGTGTCCGAAGGAATAATTATTTTCGGCACTTTGCATGTCTCGTGCGTGTTGAATTGGTAATTTGCAATTCTCTGAAATTACAGGGCGGGAAGGTGTGTATTGAGTTCCAAGCGTGTCGAACGTACTCATTGGACAGAGGGGCTTTTCTTGGGGTCGCTGCTGGAGTCGCCGCTTTTTATTGGCTTTGTAGATTTTGTTTGTTTTTATTTGACGCATTCGTCTAAATCGGTACGAGAAACTTTTGCCAAACTCTCGCTCGAGCGATTCAACCCGTTGAGGTGAACGTAATTCCTGCGGTAAATGCCATTGCGAATAATGTGTGGATCGATTTAACTCGTTTTATTAAAAAATCTGTCAGCAATTGGAGCTTTTTGCTTAATTTAATCGCTAGTACTATAGAAAAATGATTAATACACGTGCAATTTGCACAATTTGCGTTCTTAAATTAAGCTAGCAATGAGATTTAAAATTTAACGAAGCATGCTATCATTTTTATTGCTCTTAATTTTTTGATATCATTTTAATTAACAACAATGAAAAAATAACTATTGCAGGGAATTACAAATTTTAATTAATCAAACACGTCAAAAATCACCATATGAGCACGATTTAAATCAACAAGGCCAATTAAAAAATCGTCTAAAACATCATTGTGGACCGAAAGAGAATATTTCTATTGCAAACCACTTAAACGTTGACTGGAATGGACCAAATTTTTTAACTAATCCCGTTGAGATTTTTCCTTTGACAATTATCTGTAAAATTTTTTCACCACGCACATTAACAAAATTTTTTTGGATATTCTCGCATAGTATATTCAAAATAAATAAATTTTGACAAACTAAATATTCCTAGTACCAAACAGGCCCTTGAAATCGATGGTGTGGCCTTTTCCTTTACTATATATACTATTAATTGATGTAATTTGCGAGTGCAACACTCTGTGATAATCCACCTTAACCCCGTTGGCCGCTTCAAATGAGCACCGGTGCTACTTGTGCTCTGTGTGTACTTGCTTGAAAATCAATAGCATTGCAAGAGAGCGTACGGAGCAGCGAATTCGCTTGCGGTGCTCTGGCTCTTCTGAGCAACCTACACACAAGTTGCTCAAAATGCTGGCTCATCTATGTATGTACATTGATTCTTTATTTGTGGAGCAGCAAGTACAACGTGCGCCCTAAAAGAGAACGATGGAAGTTGTGTTTTGGCTGCGGTACACTATGCAGTGGGTAATTTTTTTACTCTTTTTATTTTCTGCCATCGCAAATACATACACGAACAGCTGAAGGGTCACTGAATAAAATATAAATTTTAAGAAATACCAATAAAAATAAAAACAACCGTAGTTCCAAAAGACGCATTAGATGATAATTTTAATCCAATCTATCTGTTCAAGATACCCTCTCTAGTACTATATTAAATTATAAAAATTTGATTCAATTTAAATCACGGTCAGTTAACAACTGGAAAATTAGATTTAAAAATAAAATTCAAATTTTGTTTAAAAGGTGCGGGAAAAAGTGTCATAGCTTTTTTTCGTGAATAAAAAATATTTAATATCAAATGATCGATTTTTACTTAAGTTTAATTAACTAAGTTAAAACAAAATTTGATTCTTTCCTACCTTTGTGCTAAAAGATCAAATTTAGCAACCATAATATTATAATATTTTTTCCCGCTAGTTTATTTTTATTTCACGAGAGGGAATAGTAAAGTTATTCAAATAAATTTTCCCCATTTATATGCGATATTTTATTTGATTGACCCAAAGGTCTGCAAAAAGCAAGCGTCATTATTTGTTACGCAACTAACCTCAACCTTTACAAGCCACCCTCGTCGTGTATATTTTTAACCTGATTAAGTCCGATGGGAGTGCACATGACACGGACACCCATTAGCCAATTTGCATGACCATCTTTCGCCATGGCAATAATTTATGTCACCGCATTTCGCTCAGCGGGTTGCCGAAAATTATCACACTGGCGCGCAATATTCGGCGGTGAGAGCCAGATAAATGCCGCCGTTTCACGGCTCCACTCCTTTGTTATCACAATAAATGATATACAAATAGACTGCGGAATGTAAATATTTACCGTGGCGGGCGGAAGATATTCGCCGCCTAGCTTTTTCCTCTCCCTCGCATGAGCACATTGTGTAAATTAGGTATACGCTTGTAGCATTTGCGATAAAAAAGCGTCTGCGGTGTCATGTTGCTTTTTGCTGGAAAAGCAGCACTCGCCTCGGTCCATCCGCTTTAATCAGCTTGATTAGCGCGGCGGCGGCGGCCGGGTCTCGAACCCTGTCCCTGACCGTCGCTCAGCTGAATCCAAGCATAAATGGAGATAGCATGCACTGTAGCAACTGGGTCAACCTAGTGCAGCAACGTGAAGGCCGAGCTCACTGCATCCAGGTGCATTAATTCGACTCAAAGCGGCGGAAAATTTCACAGCAAATTGCACTCTGGCGCAGAGCAAATTGTTTTCCCTGGAATGAGAATTCTAAAGGGTGCAGCTCTTTTCCGTGGAACACAAGTTTACGCAGAAATGAGTTCATCAGTCATGAAATTGTCGTCATTTTATCGCTTTCTTGAATCAATACATAAATATTGCCAAGACATCTGTGGAAAAATTTGCACTACTATTGAAATATTTTCAAAAAATGAACAACTTGAAAATGCAAGAATATAAATTTTCAATTTCAGTACTTTTCTCCTGAATTATTTACGAATGAAGCTGACTTGGTTTTCCTTCTTGGGCCAATCAATTAACGAAATGGAACCTCGTCCAGCTCAGATACGCCAAAAACTTTTAATCTTATTCCAGCCACCACATTAACGACGTCAAAATCGATGCAATTCTCCGATTGCGTGGGTAGGCAAATTTGCAGCTCCACTGCCCGTATCCGTTTTCACGCTCAATTGCTTACTGATAAATTTGCACACAATCGTCAGAATGACACTCGCGAATTTCAGCATCAACTTGGGAAATATGTCAAGAAACTTTCATATCGGTTATAAAAAAAGCTGAAATGTATCTGCAGATGGTGCAGCAGCGACGAAACATGCACGGTCAGCAGCCCTCGTAAAACAAGCCTAGATTAAACCTCGGCCCAAAATCACTTTTCCGGAGCGGCCGGATAATGAATCCAATTATCACGAGCAGCAGCAGTCGGACCAAGTAGTCAGGTGGCGGCCGTTTATTTTGGTGAGGCGGTCGCGAGTGCCTGCCGTGGAATTTTAAATCAGTTCTCAAAGTCAGCCGCGCCAGTCGCAGTGACGTCATTTGGGGTAGAGAGTGGCCAAATATCGATGTGTTAACCCACCATTCCGAGGGCTGAGCAATGGATGTGCCCCCCTGGCGTGACGTCACTGGTGGCGCAGTTGTCTGCCACCCAAAAATCGCCGCCCACCCACTCAAACACACAATGGACCACCCTCATATGGATTTTGCCATTTAGCCCAGTGCCGAAATCGTATCATGTGCTGGGTCGCGGAATTTATTTTGGTACCAAGTTCGATCGCTGATACTCTCGGAGGCTCGCCCTAAAGTTCTGAAATTATCAATTGAAAAAGGTGGAAAAGAAAACATGCATGACATAAAAAAATAAAATAATAAATATTTATTGATTTTAATAATCTGGAAAGTTTAGAGCTCGTTTTGTGTTTTTCT